TTATATGTTGTAATATCTTTAATAAGCTCTTCTTTGCTCTAAATGATTTTATAATTTAAAGATGTTTATCTGAAGCTACACATTAAAATGCAAAAACATGCTGATAGAAAACAAAGGGGGTTGAAACTTCGGTGATTATTGTTTGTCTTGTAACTTTCATGATTATAATTGTTTGTATATTCTTATTACTCCACTTTTAGCACTACGATGTAAAAAGATATATTTTTTGTTGTCTTTACTCAAGAACATACTTTGTATGAATGAGTGCTAAAAAAGTTCAATTAGACAACTGATTCTTATTAAAAACCATATTTATATAAATTAGTGATTCGTATACTTTTCTATTACATAGTCAAATAATACGTAATCTTGGTTTTTGTTAAAGTTCTTGTAATGTTTTCCAATAAATAGATTTTATTATGTGAGATTTAAGCATGCTACCATAAAAGCTTTGAATTTAGGAAACAATCTTGATTTTGACACAAACATCACCACTTTGTAAAGAATATAAAATTAACATTCACAAAAGTAAGAAAATTTAAAAATCATCAAAAACATGTAAACATAGATTTTTGATTTACTTTTTCTTGTAACCTTTAATGCTCTATGGAAAATCTTTGTCTTTTGATCTTCTCATCGTTTCTTCACCACTCTATGTATCAGTATCTCCTCACTTTCTACTTTTTGCTCTTTGTTTGGAGCATCAATATCTATACAATCTTCATGTTATTATCATCAATATAAATTTTTAATTATTATCAACAAAAAATTATCAACCTTGAATAAAAATTTGGGGACAAAACGGGATTTAAACTGATTTTAACCGATATTGACAACATAACTCGATTTCACCTAGAATATAAATATACTTACATTTATTTCAATAATAGCAATATACTTATATATAGCATTTTACCAGTCAAAATTCTTGAACTTGAAGACTATTGAGCATCTTCCATCATAGAAACTACATGCAGATCAACAATCCTATTCTGATTCAACTAGTTTCTCTTTAATGGTTTCCATTTGAGCCTCTGGTTGCATAAATTTCTCTAATAACAAACAATATCTAAATAAATTAACCCGATAGATGTAAACATATTTATTTTGATAAGAATTAGTGCAAATATTCTACACAAAAAATTTGACAAAAATTATTCATATTACCTATACAAAAAAGCTATGAAAAGAATGTTTACCACATAATAGCTTTAATATTAACATAAACTTGGGGCATATAAAACTTCTTAAATCAATAATCTAATTATCGGTGTTGAAAGATGATAAAGATCAATCTTCATTGAAAAGCTTAGTATTCAGTTAATCTACATGAAAGTTTGATGTCTCTTCAGTTAACCTACTGGACAACCTTGCCCCTATCTCAAAAGCCTAACCTGTTATGGGCGAATTTAACCTCTTTCTCTAAGGCGCACCCAACTCAATAGCCCTATACGTAAGCTCCCCGGAATACTCCAATAGTCCAAGGTCTTTTAGTATATCAGCCACAAGTAGATTGCTTTTTCTGTAATCCCCAAGAACAATCGTCAACAACTTAAGGCTATGAAAGTTCAATTTAGAACAATAGTTGTTCCTATTAATTTTGGTGCAGCTGCTGATCAAAATTCAATATCTTTACAAAGTTTGGTTCTTCGTTGTCTTGAAGACAACATATTAGGTGTGTGCTTCTATTGTCTCTGAAATACACATATTTTTTACGTGGTTTTTGATTATGTATAAATGAATAGATAAAAACCAAGAGACCAGTTAATTTTTTTTTTGTTAATATGAGTACTTACATTTTTAGATGCATTAAAATCATTTTTGTAAGCAGAGGAGCACATGTGCCAACCAATAGACCTGCAATATCGAAACATACACACACACACACAATTAGAGAGACAACACACATGCACACATTGGTCTAGAAACATATTTATACCAGATTAAACTTTTAACAAACAAAACAAAGAGTTAGAGTTAGAGAAGAGATGACGCTTTAGGGTTTTATTTTGGATCGTGAGAGCTAGAAATGGGTTACCTATTCATTGCCCAAAGATCAATAGCAAGTGGTGTTGGTGGTACGTGACAAAGATGGCAGAGCAGGGGAAATAAGCAGATCTAGAAGCGATGGAGGTGAGACTTGATGGTAGTGGTTAACAGTATAAGACTCGAATTCAATCCAAAAACCTACAAAATCAAAGAAGATACACACATACACACACACAATGTTAGAGAGATTTTCTAAAGAGAAATACATTAGTGGTGCGATTGTCTTGTGGTTCCAGATCAATTCTCAAAACTCTGTCATAAAAAAATCTAGATGAGAGAGTGGGTTCCTAGAAGAAATGGGGACGTTGGAAGTTTCTGATGGTAGTGGTCGCTGATTATTATGGTGGTGATGGCGACGACTACCGATGAAGATGGGTTTCATGTACGGAGGCAAACGACAATATGGGTATGATCTAGGGTTTTTGCAAGAAAGGGGCGATGATAATGTATTTTTATTATCGATTTTTCGGGCACCAAACGTTGTTTTTTTTTCGCTTCGTTTTTTTACACCTCTTTTATACATTATCATTTATATTTTCACCAACTTATAACTATTAATATCATTCATAAAGTCATGTGCACCTTCGGGATCAAATATTCATTTCACAGTTTAACACTATAATGCTGATGATCTACATTCACATATAAATATTCACAAACAAGTATACATACACACATACACGTACACATATGCCACAACTCATTCATGTATGCAAATATATACATATACAAAAATAAACACATCACAAGTTGGTGAAAAGTATAATCCTTAAATTGTTAAACCGTGAAAAGAATAGTTGATCCCGAAGGTACACACGACTTTATTAATGATATTAATAGCTATAACTTGGTGAAAAAATGAATAATCATGTACAATAGAGGTGTAAAAAAACAAAACGGAAAAAACAACGTTTGGTGTCTGTAAAATCGAAAATCGAAATATCTGTAGCTAATCCTTAGATAATTAGCTACATAATTCTAACGGAAAACATATTTTGTAGCTAATCCGTAGGTAATTAGCTACGTCTTAGCTACGGAATATGCTTTCCGTTAAAATTCCGTAGCTAATCCGTCTAATTAGCTACAAATTTTTATTATTTCGATTTTTTGGGCACCAAACGATGTTTTTTTCGCTTCATTTTTTTCACGCCTATTTTATACATGATTATCTATATTTTCACCAACATATAGCTGATAATATCATTCATAAAGTCATATGCACCTACGTGATCCATTACTCGTTTAACGGTTTAACACTATAATACTTATTAATACATTCAAATACAAATACTTAGAAATATGTATACACATACAAATATACCACAACTCATTCATATACATAAATATACATATACAAACATAAACTCATCAAAAGATGGTCAAAAGTACAGGTATTACAATGTTAAACCGTGAAACGGGTACTTGATTCTGAAGATGCACACGACATTATAAATGATGTTAATAACTATAATCATGTATAAAAGATGCGTGAAAAAAGCAAAGCGAAGAGAACGTCGTTTAGTGCCCAAAAAATCGAAAATAATAAAAATTTGTAGCTAATCCGTAGCTAATTAGCTACGAATTAGCTACGGCTATTTCTTATTTTCGATTTTCTGGGCACAAAACGTCGTTTTTTTCACATGTCTATTATATATGATTATCTATATTTTCACCAACTTATATATATTAATGTCATTCATAAAGTCGTATGCACATATGGGACCCATTACCCGTTTAATGGTTTAACACTATAATGCTTATGATCTACATTCACATAAAAATACTCACAAACACGTATACATACAAATATACATGTACACATATACCACAATCCATTCATGTATGTAAATATACATATACAAAAATAAACTCATTGCAAGTTGGTGAAAAGTATAATGATTACATTGTTAAACTGTGAAACGAATACTAGATCCTGAAGATGCACACGACTTTATGAAAGATATTAATAGCTATAAGTTGGTGAAAATATATATAATCATGTGTAATAGATTTTTGAAGAAAACGAAGCGAGAAAAAACGACGTTTGGGGTCTGAAAAAGCGAAAATAAGAAAATTTCGTAGCTAAATACCAGAAGGAGATGAACAAACAAGAAAACTATTTTTTGAAAAACTCAAAACTTAATTTTAACATGTATGGTTGTAAAATGTTTAGGCACTTGTGGGCAAATGGTTATAGGTTTGGTTCATGAAAAGGAAGTCATAAACAAACCCAACAATAGCACCACCAATCAAAGATGCAGTCCAAAACACCAGGTGGTTGGGCAATGTAATGTTCCAACTCACTAAAACCCGGCCAATTGACAAAGCAGGGTTTATGGATGCTCCAGTGAATGCCCCGCCCACCAAAATATTTGCTCCAACAATAAACCCAATGGCAATTGGTGCGGTTGTTGCCAAATTACCCCTCTTGGGATCTATTGCGGTTGCGTAAACTGTGTAAACAAGCCCGAATGTCATCACGATCTCAAATACGAAAGCATTCCAGAACCCGACTCCTTCATCAAACGTAAACTCTTCTACAGAATGCAAATTTACCATTTCAAGTCCAATAAAAAAATCTTGCAACATGAAATATACTTTTAAATAACATTTTAAAGGATTTATTTTAAGATTGACATAGTGGTCTAATTATATAATAAATATTGATATAGTGGTATTTATGTAAATGATATTTGTTAATTTTAAAAATAATTATTATATTAAATATTATAAGAAAAATATTATTGGTATAGTGGTCGAATTATGTAAGTAAAAGGGTATGAACAAAAAGTAAAGAGATTGTATAAACATGATCCATTCATTATCATGCAAACATATAGCTAGATTAAAATATATTGAAAAGCGAAAAAAATTAATAAGATTCTCACCATGCCATTGGTGACAAACTCGAGTAGCAAGCAAGCGACAATGGATCCCAGTACCTGACCAAGTATGTAAACAAGACCACGGAGGATAGTGATATTACCACCAACAAAGGCACCGAGGGTGACGGCGGGGTTCACATGTCCACCGGAGATATTGGCACTGATGGAGACAGCGACGAACAGGGCAAAAGCATGGGCAATAGCTGCTACCATAAGACCAGTAGGGGTGGCAGGACCGTCGTTGGTTAGCTTGCTCAAAGCCAAGCCGGAACCTGTGCCTGCAAAGACGAAGATGAAGGTGGAGATGAACTCCGCCACCCCGGCCCTGATGGTATCCGGGTGCTTAAACTCATCAGATCGGCCAAAAGCGATTGCACGGATCGGCATAGTTAAATTTTGATTGATAAGACTGCCCAGATGGAGGAGTAGGGGAGACTAGAGGGAGGTTTAAGCTGGTATGCATATATCGCAAGCAAATGAGATGTTTATATGTTTTAGTGGTTTACTTGCTACTTCCGGTTAACCATCGGTCACAAAGGTTTCCCGATTCTTTTGATATTAAAAATTGGATCAAGATTTGTTAAAGTTTATTAAATAGACAACTTTTGGCGTTGGTTTTGTTTTGACTACTTTCATGTTTAATCCTTAAAACAAAAACTTAAATGCTTAGTGGTAATAATTCTATTATTGTATTACGATATAATAAATATCCTTTACAAATTATCTTATCCATTTAAATAATAACATATATAACATTACTATAATAAATATCCACATACCTTTTGTTTTTACAAATTATCATATCCATTTAAATAATAACATATATAACATTACTATGATAAAATATCAAAAAAATTTATTAAATAAACATGAAATATTTCACATATCATCATTTCATTTAATTGAATAGAATGATTTATAGGAATAAAAAATAGAATGATATTTAATTTAAACAAAACTAGATTTGTTTTTGCCAATATTTAATTACGGCAAAGCACAATATAAACCACAAAAAATAAATAAATAAAAACATGGAACAATTTACTTCTGTTGAAGAACACGATTGAAGGCATGAGAGGTTTAACTCCACTTTTTGTGATCTAAGTACACAAAGTTTTAGTACATGTGTTTTAGAATATGATATGGGAGGAATAAGATATACATAGTATGACATAAGGAGGGGACAAATTGAAAAAGGAGGGGCAAGTTGAGTAAAATAGATATATGCGTGGTTAGCTTTTCCTTTGTAAACAGTTGGTACAACGCAGCCCTTAAATGCTTTTCCAAGAGAGTTCTCGCTGTTAAATATTGTATATTTATATAGTATTTTATATTTGTTCTTTTTGCATAGTGTAGGGTGATTTGTATAAATACCCACCCTAACCGGTTTTCAACAAGAATTGAGCTTCTAATGCAAATTCTACAACTTCCATTGTATTCCCACAACATCTTAGAAGTCACAACAGACACTAATCCATTCTCATCTTGTAACATCCAACTCCTTTGACGAATCGAATTAGGGTTTAGGAGGGTCAAAAGATTGGATTTTGGTGAAAAAGGGGTCCTCACGACGTGAGGCATGGAGGCTTACGACACGAGGAAGGACATATGAAGATTCCATCTGGGGCTGATCTCACAACATGAGCAATAAGAGCTCACAACGTGAGGAGCGCTGCACCCCAAGCCCACAAAGTTTTAGGGTTTCCCACATATTTAAGCCCTCTTATCTCGGTTTTTATAATTCATTTCTCAGACTCCATCTGCCATTAACTCAGAAAATCCTAACCCTAATCGATCTTAGTGATTTTGGCTCCATTTTTAGTGTTTAGGTGGCTAGAAGAAGAAGAAGAAGAAAAGGTTCTTGAGTGTTGGTTCAGCAAGGAGCCTTCATCATCAACATCTTGTGTATATTCTGGACCATTGTAAGTGTCTAACGTTCAATCTTTAAGAGCTCATATTGCTAGATCTAAGTTCTAAGCTCCTTTTGCATGTTTATGTTAGATTGCATGCTTAGGATCCATAAAGTTGGCAACTTTATGGATCAATGAGTCATACTCTATGATTTACTCTTATGGATCTGGAGTGTGGTTGTAATATATGAATCTTGTTTGAGTTTGGGGTCATTTCTTGTCATTTTGACCTAAGATAGGTTTAGGACATGCTTGGGGCATGCATGTCCATCAAGTAATCGATTTTATTGGCCTTTGGAGTCCTTGTTAGCTTTTGATAGAAATAGGATTGAAGGCTTAATGGATTAAGGACTTAAAAGTTGGATTTTTAGCATCAAACTTTTCTCACGACGTGAGAAGTGTTGGTCCCATTTTGGGTTATCTACTTGGGACTCACGACGTGAGAAAGGATTCTCACAGCGTGAGGGCAACCCCGCTGACTTTTACTTTGTTGAGTTGAATATGTTGAGTCGTGATGGGTTGGGATCTGATTGAGTCCATTTAGATCTTATGTCCGATTGGAGCTTTATGTATCTTTTAGGCCTCCTTAGATTATGTAATGTCCCAAAAATCATTCCCAACATTTTCATTTTTAAATCATTAAATAAACCATAATTATTAAAATCATTTTATCAAAAAAGGAGCCATAGTATCTCAAAACATCATGATCAGTATCCATAAAAAACACATGTCAAATATATCAGAGTACCATTCCGGGCTAGACATCATGGTGTGTGTATGTAACACAATAAATTTTCAAATAATTTTTTTTTCATTTAAAAATCACATAATTCTCATAACACATTTCACAAAAATCCCATTTAATATATTTACAAAACACAAGTTTATAATTAATTAATAATAATCCAGGATCCTCAAATCATAACTCATTCTCTGATGTGTACAATCAAGTCGGTACCTTCCCGCAATTCTGAAAAAAACCTGAAACACATAACACATAACACGGTAAGCACGAAACTTATTGATTTCCCTGAATTCCACATACAACACGTAAGCTACTCAAGGCTATAACTCCGTAAGACCCTCCGGTCTATGTGTCTTAGTGGGACCTTCCAGTCCCATGGCTCGTTGGACCCTCCGGTCCGGTCTGGTTGGGACCCTCCAGTTCCATGGCTCGTTGGAGCCTCCGATCCAGTCTGGTTGGGACCCTCTGGTCTCACAGCTCATTGGACCCCCCGGTTCGGTCTAAGTGAGGACCTTCCAGTCTCATAGTTCGATGGACCCTCTGGTCCAATCTAAGTTTTACATAAGATAGCACACATCACATAACACATAGAAAATGCATATCTCAAGCGAGCACATAAGACCCTCTAGTCACACATAATTACCACTCTAGGTAAAGTATAGTGAGAAGACTTACCTCAGATGATGAACAACCCCTATAAACGCTGCTGCTACGCACTGGCCTCTAACTCTGTGCCGAACCCACAATTATGCCAATTAGGAACTAAGTCCCAACTCTCACTCATTAGGTCTAAAGGTAGTCTACTAACCAGCCCATCAATGGCCTAAAACCTATTGGGCCCACCAAGGCCTAATAATAAATGGGCTCTCCTGAGGCCCAACTCTCTCACATCTAATAGCAAGCCCAACTCGAGGGCCCAAAACACACACACACACACACACACACACACACATATATATATATATATATATATATATATATAATCCTCTGGTCCAAGACTCTATTGCAACAAGTCCAAACTCCAGGCTCAACACTCAAGGCCCAAATTGAGACTTAGCCCAAAAGTCCACAGTAAGGTTATGTAGGGTGTACTCCTCTTGGTACGCTTAGTGTACTCACGAATCCATATTGGTCATCGGGGACACGGGGGCAGTATGCGAGGCGTACAGGAATTACGCTCAACGTACTCCACAGATTCACTCTTTCTACTCATTTGGTCTGAAACACTTAAGACATTACCTCAAACCCTAGATCTGGATTCCCTAATGGCACTTACTCCATAAAGTCAGTGACTTTAAGCCTTTTCATGGCTGGAAAGGTCCAAAACACCCAAAACACCCACTTCCTTATCTCAAAAACCTCCTATCTCACGCATAGCTTGATTTCAACCTCTAAGATTGGATTTTTATGACATAACACCATTTAATATACTCAAAGGGACGTATATTAGGCTCTGGAGTTCAACAACTCATAAAACTTCAAGCTTTGGGACCAAAAACCCTAAAATGGACCCAAAACAAAAACTAGCACAACATTAAGCATGTTCAAAACTTGATACCTCTGGAAGATGCACCAACAAGAGAAAAACATAGATCTAAAAGCTAGGTGCTCAAGCTATTCTATTTCAAAGCTCCTGCTTCTTCAAAAGCCAAACGTAACAAGTGATCACCCCACTAGATCCACATGAGAAAGCCACCAAGATTCAAACTCTATGATTTTTGGAGCTAGATCAACATGTAGGAACCCACTTTTATAACGAACGGTGGATGCGGAAGAATAATATCTCGAGATTTATCGTGTATCAAAATATAAAACATGAAGAACATGATGAGAATTCTTAGAAGATAAGAAAGAAAAGAGAGATAATAATAATATTCATGAATAACAATGATGGGAGAGAAAAACTCTCCGTATGTGGGGAGAACCCACTACTTTCTCTCTCTAGAATTACATTGGAGAAAAGATGCATACTAAGAAAATGACCACGTCTCCCTTTATATGGGAGGAAGAGATAAAATACACCAACCATAAAATAAATGGAAAAATACAACCTAACTACCACTCATTATTTGTAGAGCATTTCCATGCTCCAACATTCTCTCTCTAAATGCTTACAAATGATGAGAGATATAATAAGTGATACAAGGCTATAACACAGTAATCTTACTAGCAATTATGGTAATAAAATGAAACATAATGAGAACCAAGTGCTGAAATGTCTCTAAAACTCTAAAGTGTCTGTGAAGTCTGAAACTGGTCATGAATATCTAACAATGAATGTCTTCGGCTTCAAATCACCACCAATGAAGCAGAAAAGTAAGATCCAATTCTTCAAAGCGCCATGGGCAAGAAGAAGATCGCCATAAGCAAGTAGAAGATCTAATAAACGAAACACTTCGGCTTCAAAAAGTCTGAAAAACATCTCGAGTTCTCGAATCATAATACACTAAGATTCTTCAAAGAATAACCTGCTAAAAATGTGAAGCATTCATAAAATGAATCCCGGATAAAAATAATGTGAATCCAATGACATGGTCCAGCAATGCCAAAAATTTGATCCCAGGATCACAAATAAGTGTCATGTCACATCACCAAAATAATCTTCGTCTTCAAAATATCACAAATCCTCACCCGTGAAACCATAAGATCTGAACCAGATACGAACACAAAATCATCTTATGGAAGAGCCTGAATAATAAATAATCTGAATCGGAAAATATCGAGTAATGCCA